AATGAATGGATGAATGAATGGGTTAAAGGGTGAATGGATGAATGGGTGAATGAATGGATGAATGGGTGAATGGATGAATGGGGGATTGGGGAATGAATGAATGGGTGAATGGGTTAATGGGTGAATGAATGGGTGAATGGGAGAATGAATGGATGAATGGGAGAATGAATGGATGAATGGGAGAATGAATGAATGGGTTAAAGGGTGAATGGATGAATGGGGGATCGAATGGATGAATGAATGAATGGGTGAATGGGTGAATGGATGAATGGGTGAATGGATGAATGAATGAGTGAATGGGTGAATGGATGAGTGAATGGGTGAATGGATGAATAGGTGAATGGATGAATGAATAGGTGAATGGATGAATGAATGAATGGGTGAATGGATGAATGAATGAATGAGTGAATGGGTGAACGGATGAATAGGTGAATGAATGAATGGGTGAATGGATGAGTGGGTGAATGGATGAATGAATGAGTGAATTGATGAATGAGTGAATGAATGAATGGGTTAAAGGGTGAATGGATGAATGGGGGAATGAATGGGCGAATGAATGGATGAATGGGTGGGTGAATGAATGGATGAATGGGTGAATGAATGGATGAATGGGTGAATGAATGAATGGGTTAAAGGGTGAATGGATGAATGGGGGAATGAATGGNTTGTTTTATTTTGAAACAACCATAAACTGATTATTAGTGTTTGTTTTATTTTGAAACAACCATAAACTGAAGTGTAACCCTTTCACCTGATTCACCCTCTCACACACTGACTGCTCTTACTGTGAACAATAACTGGAGCAGCTGTGGCAGAGTGGAGGGTTGTCTGTTCCATTCCCTGCTCCATCAGTCTCAGTCAGTGTGTCTTTGAGCAAGGCACTTGACTTACCTCTGGCTGCTGGTGGCAGCCTCACCTCACCCCAATGAGCAGCCATCACTGTATGGATGAATGGGTGAATGGATGAATGAATGAATGGTTGAATGGATGGGTGGATGAATGGGTGGATGAATGGATGAATGGGTGAATGAATGAATGAATGGGTGAATGAATGGGTGAATGAATGAATGAATGAATGGGTGAATGAATAGGTGGGTGAATGGATGAATGGGAGAATGAATGGATGAATGGGTGAATGAATGGGAGAATGAATGGATGAATGGGTGAATGAATGAATGAATGGGTTAAAGGGTGAATGGGCGGGTGAATGGATGAATGGGTGAATGAATGGGTGGGTGAATGGATGAATGTGTGAATGAATGGATGAATGAATGAGTTAAAGGGTGAATGGATGAATGGGGGAATGAATGGATGAATGGGTGAATGGATGAATGGGGGATTGGGGAATGGATGAATGTGTGAATGAATGGATGAATGAATGGGTTAAAGGGTGAATGGATGAATGGGTGAATGAATGGATGAATGGGTGAATGGATGAATGG